GTGGCGATATATGCTCCAAGTGGAAGCGATTTCTTACCGGAAGTCATGTGACCTCTAGCCCGGATGTTTACAATGTTTGTGAGAGAGTAAAAAGGCGCGAAAATGTGTAAATGCCGGTCTAGGCGAATACGTTTTTAACGCTGTTTCATAATTGTACCAAGAAGGAAATAAACATGATTGTGAACATCAGTTCCATGCGTAACGTTCTTTCAAGACAAAGTTACAGTGTGTGTACCGTTTGGTTGCCGGTAAGGGAGACGAGCAAGCGCTCTGATCTTCAACGCAAAGCTCGCTTGTTTCCAATCCCGAGAGTTGATGATTTTCCTCGCCTGAAACACACGATTAGTGCCATGAGTTAGTGAAGCAAATTACAGAAACACTGCACAGTTATTCACAAGTCAAAACGTTTTCATAGCGGCCGAGAATATCTAGCTAGATGGATGTTATTAGCCAGCTCGGGGCCAGTGTTAGCTAGTTCAGCCTAGCATGGCTAGCTTGATCTACTGAGCAAATAAAAGTACATCTGAGACCATTATTGTGCAGATTAAAACCCCAGTGCATGTAGTTGCTTTTACCTTCGTCGTGGTCGCCCTCTAAATCCGCCGTTGGAGCGGCCTCCGATGCCATACTGCCCGAATCAAGGCTAGATGCTGTCCCGGAGAATGAAGGTCTGTGGCCGAGCAAAGCATCCAAGCGGTCGAACCATAGCCGCGTTCACACCGGAGTACTTTTCACCGTACTTATAAGGAGAGGGAGAGCGTCAGTTTAGGTCAGGGGTCTCCAACCTTTCTTCATCTGAGAGCTACTTTCAAAAAATGAAAGTGGCCAAGAGCTACTTGCATCACATCGCTTACATTTATTCACATAGCCCTCATCAGTTGAATTAAGCTATACTTTTGTACACGTGTGAAATTGCAATACCTAAAGCTTATCAAAAATAAGGTCCAAGAAAACAAAGATTTCTCACATATTATTATGGCCCACATCACATATATCATAAGTACATCACTGAACATTCACATAAGTGTCCTTAATCACCACCTTACAAGCATTTCACTCTTTTGTTAGTGAGATGAATGGCACTGCATGCAGTCCACCATAGAGGTGTATGCTGGACCCACTTAGGTTCACTTAATAGAGTCATTTAAATGTTCATCAGTCGGTCTTGTTCTGTATTTAGATTTCATTCATGTCAGAAAAAGCTGCTTCACAAAGGTATGTAGAACAGAACCAAATAAAGCAGACATTTTCAGTGCTGCTTGGTGAATGTTCTTATAGTTTTCTGGGTCTACAAGGCTCCAGAAATGTTGTGAGTTTTGCTGAGACTTAAGCTGAACATTATTTTGGAGATCTCCACAGGATTGACACTGAACAGTTGTTCAGCCATCTTTTTCTTCTTCTTCTTCGTCTTGACATTAAATTATAAACCATAATAAATCAATTGTATAGGTCTAGCCTCCCTATATCTGTGTGTGAAAATGGTTCCATCCTCAAAAACAAAAAACTAATACTTCTGCAGTCTAGCTGCAGCTTCTAGCTACGGTCTTCTGTTAAAAAAAAGACACTGAATGTCTTGAATGTGGCATCACACACAGGACTTGAGTCTGAAAACAGCAGGAGTATTTACAATAGCATTATAAAAACAAAAATACTGCATGTGGGTGCACACTTACATTCTCTGTCTTACTGTTACATAAATCCCATGAATGTATGAGATTAAGTTAGCTTCATCATATCTCAATCAGTGATTAAGTGAATAATAAAGTTTCTATCGGGTCACTATCAGCCTGTCACTCATTATTTTCAGGGAGGGGGCGGGGTTTGGAGGAACGGAGAGGAGACGGTGATCGCGGAAGCTTTCCTCCTGCCTTCACAAACTTTACACAAGTATTTATCAACTGAAAATAGCAAGAGGACATTCATACTCTGCAATCCAAGACTTGATTAAATCCACCAAAAACCTGACATGACGATAACGAGTGTTTTTCAAAAAACACAAATCCCTCCCTGTGTGTCTCTGAGGCGCAGCGACAGGGCCTGATTCAGAGCGGGTCATTCTGCTGTTGGTTCTGGACTGGTGCTGGTGGAGAAAGCAGACTGCTCCGTGTGTGTTGTCGCTGTGCTGCTGTCACGTCTGTTCCTTGATCTCTGCGTCACCGACCATTTGATATTCGTGTGACAGAAAAAAATTCTAAAATAAAAAAACGTTATTGTCCAGCCGCGGCCGAAAAATCAATAAGCAACCTTACTACGCTATAATCGATAATCGAGCGGCGAGCTACTGAAAAGCTGCCCGCGAGCTACCGGTAGCTCGCGATCGACGTGTTGGAGAGCCCTGGTTTAGGTGGTGTAAAGGACTCGCTGAGTGATTAGATTGTAAACTTTAGTCTAAGTTATCTCAGTGGGTCTCAAACGGTTTGGTCATCTATGTAAACAAATATTTCCATCTATTTAATATAGTTGTTCAAAATAAGTTAAGAAATCATTCCAATGTCAGTAAAAAAATAAAAAACACAGTTTGAAAGGGGAGTGATTAGTAAAATATGCATAAATAAAAAGAAAGAATGCAGAAGTTTAAGATAGGAGAGAGGAGTTTATCAATTATGTGTTATTGGTTGTGAGCATATTCTAATGGTTTTTAGAGTATTGAAATATATACAGTTCTGTTTCATATGAGTGTTGAGAGCTGTATCCATGAATCTCTTAATTTTGCTCTCAAAGTGCACCAGATTGATGCATTTAACTTCAATTTAAAGACAAAAAAATCTTCTCATTATATACACTACACATTTTTCTTGGATTTTTTAACACCGTAGTCCCTAATATATTTGTAGAAAGGCAGGAAATGGAATTAAATCGAGAAAATTGTTTCATTGCAGAGGACCCCCTGTTTTGTGTGTCCCCCACTTCTCAAACCAAAGTTACACCCTTATGTATGTGTAATAATGTGTCTCTGTAAAGCGCTTTGAGTCATTGAAAATCACTATAATAAATATAAGGAATTATTATTATTATTAACACCAGCAGGTGAATCTGCTGAGCATCAATCAGGGAGCAGAGAATGAGGCACAGCAAACAGGGGGCTACATCCTCATTTGTGTTACTTTAACAGAATATTATCTTTATTCATATTACAGCAAGTGATTAACAGTTATTTACAATCTGGTGTAAAACAACACATAAAATACACAAGATATAAAACATTTACAAAAGTAGGCAACATAAAGAATACAATAAATCAGTAGTTCCTAAAATGTATGAGCCGGTGGATATTCAAATAGCTTACAGAACAATCAGCATGAATTACAAGTTGGTAGTATAATTAATACACAATGTAACACTATTGTATAACCTTTTGGAAGTGCAATATGATGGGCTACGCTTAAAAGAAATCCCTTAAAATGTAAAAACTGAAAAAATATGAACAAGAAACAATATATTTAAACAAAGTCAATCATATTTCTGTATAAGAGTATATTATTACTCTATAAAAGATACAAATAAGTAGCTGGCCATTAAATGCAGTAAGTACCAAATCACTTTGAGATAAGCATGAAACGCCCTGCCATTAAAGAACAAGCTGCATTGTATTTACAGTATTTAAATTACATTTCAGTATAAAAAATAAAGCTTAAAAATAATGTTAAATGACCAAAACATCTTGTTGTTGTCTTTTATAAAACGTTGTAGCTCTTAACTACACATTATGTGCATTTTACATTATGGCTGTTCACTTACTTTTCTAAAGTAAGTGCTTTGTGCTGGAAGTAAACAAACTAATCAGATGCCATTATGAATGATGACGTGTGCATGTACAGTGGCTCTAAGTGTTCAATCAACTCTTTGAAGGCGTTTGGTGGATGTGAAACATATTTTTTTAACATATTCGGATAACGTAGGGGTCGGTATGGTAACGCGATTGAGACAATTTTAGGTCATATATAATTTTGAACATGAAAAAATGTGGGAGTGTTTAGTGTTGTTAATAGTTTTGGAACAACAATGGAGTGCTGCTATGATGACATATTTTTGCAGCCAACCCGGAAGTTATCATTGCATGTGATCCAATGGGATTTCCAACTCTACACAACTTTAGGCTAATGTAATGCTATAATCACTATAATAGTCACTTGAAGTTGTTAGCAACCGCCGTTTTCATGTCACATATAAGCTTCGGATATTCCCAAGTGGGGTATTTAGGGGAGACCAGGGACAGTTGTAACACTTTTTGGGTTTTCCCCAATAAGTAAAAAAACATTTACACTAGGATAGCCATTTTGCTATATTATACATTCTCAATGTGTCATCTACTGAAACAATGTATTTAAGATGTTTCTATGAAATAAGTACAGGTTGGAAAATGTATATATTTTTTTTAACTCAACTGTTACAACCGTCCCTGTGTACAGGGACAGTTGTAACACATGCCAGGGACGGTTGTAACGGTTACCTTTTTTCACACTACATGACAAATAAGAGGGAAAGCTGTCAAATTCTAAGGCAACAAGATTTTAATGGGGTTTCACACGTCCTCCAACAAACAATGAACAATGAACAGAGCTTAAAACAGAACACCAGATGGAATTAATCTGATTCACAGTTGTGGCAGGTGTAAAAGTCACTTCCATCTGTATAGATAGCCTATTCTACCTTAATTATGTAGACCTACCTCCTTTGAGCTGAGACCATAGTATAAATCAGCTGCCTCCATCAGGTAGTCTCTCAAAAGCATCTCTTGCTCTGTTGAGAACACCTTCTTGGGTGTCCAGTAGCCTACTCTTTGGGGTGATTTGGATCCCTGACTCTCCAACCTCAGCCTCTTTTTATGGAACCGGTACAGGGTGACATGGCATATATCATGGGACTTTGCCACTGCCCTGACTGATTTGCCCTCCTGAACTTCATTTGAGGCCCTCTGCAGCAGAGGAAGTGGCACTCCCCTGTCTGTCTTCCTCTTTCTGATATTTGGCATACTGTAAACACACGCACACACTTTACTGTACAGTATTTGATTATTTTTATTTTTACAGGGACAATGCACACCAATCAACAATATTGATCATTCGAGCAAATGAGCCATCATTGTAAATGTGCCATGTTACAACCGTCCCAGGTGGTCCGTGTTACAACCGTCCCAGGTGGTCCGTGTTACAACCGTCCCAGGACCACCAGTCATGTTTTCACCCCCTGTGAACCTCCCTGATTGCTAGCTTGACTCATATTTAGCTAGTTATATGTTTAGCTTACAAAACAGTGATTCTAATAATACTAGTTTGGATTCCTAGACATTTGACCTCAAGACAGTATCCAAAAAATACATCATATAATTTTTGATAATGTTTTACCTCAGAAACACACTTTTGCTGATACCTTTCGCGACAGATTTAAACGTGGCTCTAACTGAGCATGTGCAGAGTGAGTTTCATCACTCTAGCTTGTTTGTGATTGGAGATATTGAAGGCGTTACAACTGTCCCGTGTTACAACTGTCCCTGGTCTCCCTAAGTGCTTTGTGCTGGAAGTAAACAAGCTAATCAGATGCCATTATGGATGATGACGTGTGCATGTACAGTGGCTCTAAGTGTTCAATCAACTCTTTAAAGGCGTTTGGTGGATATTTAACATATTCGGATAACGTAGGGGTCGGTATGGTAACGCGATTGAGACAATTTTAGGTCATATATAATTTTGAACATGAAAAAATGTGGGAGTGTTTAGTGTTGTTAATAGTTTTGGAACAACAATGGAGTGCTGCTATGATGACATATGTTTGCAGCCAACCCGGAAGTTACCATTGCATGTGCTGCCTTGATTAAAAATCCAATGGGATTTCCAACTCTACACAACTTTAGGCTAATGTAATGCTATAAATGAACTACACCTGAGTTGCATGGCTGCGTGTCCCCCACCGCTAAGCTAAAGACGGCTACTGTTCCACATAATGACGTTTAGCAGTATAAATTAGTCACTTGAAGTTGTTAGCAACCGCCGTTTTCATGTCACATATAAGCTTCGGATATTCCCAAGTGGGGTATTTACTGACATATTAGATTTCGTACATCAAGACGTTAACCACAGACCTTATTGCTTCTTGCCACAGCTTCCCAAAAAAAGGATTTCCCAGGATTTATGATTCATTACTAAACCACTCTATTGCGCAGAGGAATAAGAAAACTAAGGCTTTAGTTCAACCATAGTAGCTAGTCAAATGAATGAATTGTTGGTTTGGTTCTATTAATGGGAAACATATGAAATACTGCAAGAATCCTTAAAGACCACCAAGAAAATTAGAAAACAGCAGCAGTAATAACAGTTAATAATAGTCTTCATTTCTGAGGAAACATGGAGCCAGCAGTGATGGAGGTCAGCCCCGTCTTCTCTTCTATCCATTGGTTGTAGTTGGTCACTGTGGTGTAAACGCCGGGTCGATTCTCCTGTGCGCAGCCGTCGCCCCAGCTGATGACTCCAAACAGGAAGAGCGTGCTGCCAACCTCGCACACCAGAGGCCCCCCCGAGTCTCCCTGTGGGCGAGAGAGCAGCAGCATTAGAGGAAATCAACAAATGGTTCTGTGGAAGCCTGATCGAGTTAGGACTTGTGGTAAATACCTCACAGGCATCCTGGCTCCAGTCGGGACGTCCCGCACAAAACATGTTATCACTGATCATGTTCCCATAATAGTTGCGACACACATCGTCGGCGATGAGGTTCACCTGAGCCTCTATGAGAAACTGAGACTTATACCACAAGCCTGAAGAAGTAAACAAACGGTTAAACCCTGAACAAGTTAATGCTTGTATAATACATACAATTGGCTATAGAATAACTCATTACATTCACTTCAGTGCTGCTTCTTTAACGCCACTACATTTATCTAATTACTGTAATTACAATAAAGCTCCAGATTTGATCATGATATGATGATTTGTGTACACTATAAGTACTGTGCTTAAGAAAAAATGTTAGGTACTTTGAGTGTTTCCATTTCCTAGTACTTAATACTTTTACTCCTCTACCTCTCAGAGGTTAATGTTGTACTTTTGACTGCACTACAATTATTCGATAACTTACGTTACTTTGAAGATTCAGATTCATAATAAAAAATGTAGTCATCAAATAATGTATCATGTATAATGTTATGATCTCTCTTCAGTGAATGGAACTGAAGAAGAACTGAAAGCTAGAAGCTCAGGAGGGCTAGTAACTGGATTTTTGATGCTATGTTTTTTTTCTCACACAAGAAATAAATTGAGTATAATATGGCTGTTTTTACTAATTGTACATTTAAATAGTCTAGACAGAGCTACAGGACCTATTTTATATGGGTTGAAGTATGTCCCCATACTTTTGGCCATATTCTTATAGACTTGCAAGAGTTAAGTTGAGTTGAGTTAAGTTGAGTTTAGTTGAGTTAAGTTAATTTGAGTTAAGTTTATTTGAGTTGAGTTGGGTTAAGTTTAGTTAATTTGAGTTGAGTTAAGTTAAGTTAATTTGAGTTGAGTTAAGTTTAGTTAATTTGAGTTGAGTTAAGTTTAGTTAATTTGAGTTGAGTTAAGTTAAGTTGAGTTCATTTGAGTTGAGTTATTTTAGCGTATGGTTTGCTGATAATATTATGGCAACAATTTGAGCAAGACCCTTTGGTTTTGGAAAACTAACACAGTGTATATCCACTTTAGACACAATAACAGTATTCAGAAGACTTTCTCACCAAATTTCTCTTTCCCATATCCAGCAATCTCACAGGAGACTCCAGGCTGGAGGTTCTGCTGAGGCGGCGGCAGACACACGCTCTTCACTGAGCTGCTCTCCTCTGCACACTGCCCACTCCTGGCCCTCAGCTTCAGCAGAGCTGCAGGACATTCATCAAAGAGTCACTGCCTGTTTAACATTACAGAATCAACAGGGAAGCCTCTGTAGACAAGCTCATACCGATGTCGTTGTTAAAACTCTCTCCATTTTGGACAAACCCGTCATGGAGGATGATTTCCTCCACCCTGAATGTTTGCTCCACTGTCGGGTCGCTCTCATTCATCATATTTTTCCCCAGGATGACAGAGAAGCGCCTCGCTTTGGTTAGGGAGCTGAAAAGTCACAGGAAAGTCAAGTCAACCTGCTGTCAGAAGTTCCCACAGCCGTCTAACAATCTGAAGGTTGCGGATTCGATCCCGGCCCATACAGTCCAGATTATGCTGTATATCTTAAACCATTAATGTTTTAAATAATGTTTTCGGATTAATATTACTGCTGCATTAATTATTATTATATAAATGTTGTGCAAAATGCCTTGTTAACATGCTGCTGTGATGAAGACATTTCTCAAATTTGGATCAATAAAATACATTCAAATCTAAATCCAAATGGAGTTTTTCTATAATAAGAAGTACAAATATTTTCTTAACACTTAAACGAACACAATTAAATATACACATCTGGAGATACATGGTTTGACTGGAAAGGAAGGCAATGTAGAAGAACCTTAAGTTGTCAGACAAATATCAGGACTAAAAAGTACAACATTGCTCTCAAATGTAGAAAATGTAGTGAAGTATAATGTAGAATAACATGGAATAAAGTACCTTGGAATTGTTCTTACATTGAAAAAACTGAAACATTGACTATAATTAAATGTATTATGTCAACAATAACTGTATTAGGTTAGTTGAAAGCAATAATATTAAGTTTAAATAAGAAATATAAGGTTCAACTTAATAGTATTGCTTTAAACTAAACTAATACAGTTATGTGAAATCTGTTGACATAATACATTAAATTAAAGTCAACCTTTCTGTATTTTCACTGTAAGTAAAGTACTCGATTACATGTACTTAGTTACTCTCAGGCACCTGCTGTGTGATGTCACTTCCTACCCGTCGGGGAAGCAGTGAGCAGCTGTGAGCACCCAGCAGGCTGAGATCAGACTCCCCCCGCAGCGGAAAACCTTCTCCTTGGACTTGCTGCGCCAAAATATGGCAGCAACCCACGGGTGGGATTCCACGGTGGCAACTGTTCCTCCCACGATCTTCGTCTGCTTTCTCCTGGAGCGCTGGCCACATGTGGACTCTGCAGCTGGAGGGGGGGGGGGGGGAGACACAGGGGTGAAACAGTGGAAGAGTATACCATGGGGATGATTCAGCGAGTGCAGTAAAGGAGGGGGTTTACCTGGCTCAGGCTCAGTGGGTGCAGTGGGTGGATCTGGGACTAGAAGATTAGAGGGTGTTTAACACGAAGGAACATGACATTTGGTTTGGATTTTATTGGAGGACTAAAGAGAGGGGGTGCACTCACATGAGTCAGAGCTACAGCGGGGGACAGCACAGTACTCCCACACCAGCTGCAGGTTCTTCCACACAAAACACCACGGACGCCGCTTGTAGTGCAGATTCCTGGAAAACAACAACATATATTCACATGGACATTTCAGTTACTAAATGCATCCCTACTGTCAATTATTGGAATTACTGAAGGGATCCTATTTTCTTTTTTTAATCGCTTCCTATGATCTTTTTAGCCCTGACCAGCAGCCATATAGCTTTCTTTGTGTTTCGGTCGGTCTACTCGTGCTCCCCCACCTTTTTGAAGTTCGAGCACTTAAACTTAAATATTACAGAGAGATAGTAAGGATATCAAACCACATTCTCAGGCAGGATTTTGTGATATAGTAGATTTGACCTCCTAGTATCTATATGCTCTTTTGCTGTTGATATAATTGTAGGTGTTTATAGCAAACATGTTGTTCAATTTTCTAACATCATGTTTGCAGTCAACAACCTTTGTCTTTCTTCCTCCTCTCAGTAACAACTATTTTTTAATAAACACATCTTAAAATACTTTGATGTTACACAAACATATTTTCTGAGTTAGTTGAAACAATATCTAGTAGAAAACTGTCATTTATAATCAAATGTTTTTTGTTGGATGCATTCTTTTTGTGTTCAGTTGAATTTTTCAATAAAATAATGCATGAAATATTTGTTGTATTTATCAAACATCACTTTTTCTGTATTTTACTTTGACTTTTCATGTTAATTTCTTTGACACACCTTATTTGGTTTTACTAGAACTAATAATGACAAAAAGTCCCAAAACTGGTGGCCAACCCACTATAGTATATATCAGTACCTACGACTATTAAACACCTGAACTTTTGAAAGAACATCCATAAACATTCATCTGTTTGCATCTTGCTAATTATTTATCTAATATATCATATTCCATTTACTTGTATATATACTCTTCTTGCACTATTTCTATTTTATTTGTATTAACTCGCACTATTTGATCTGTTTATTTGTTCTATGTCCTATATGTTGCACTGTTGGAGGAGCCTGTGACCTAAGTTATTCATTGACATATCTACACTGTAGCTAATGTACAAATGACAATAAAGCTTTGAAACTTGAATCTTATGTCCCACCAAAACGATCTTATGGTTCAGGCTGTATATATAGCTTCAGAGTGGTGTCAGCCTACCTGCAGTAGTTGTGCCTCCCTGACTTGAGATCTATTGACAGGTAGAGCTCCCTGGTGTCTGAATCCCACTCCTCACATGTGCGTCCGCTCTTTGATTTGGCCACGGTTCCTCTGTAGTACAGACCCACCCCCTCGAAGCACTGACCGGCTTTCACTACAGGAACAGCAGGGGGTTTGATTTAATAAATTATATAAAAAGTGAATTTGGTTTGTTAGTTTAGATCTGACCTTTTTCACATTGTCTCCCCTCAAAACCTTCGGCACACAAACAGAACATGTGTTCACCAGAAGTCAGGGACGGGACAGAGCTGCCTCCATTAAGACAGATCCTACCTGTAAGACAAATCGTAATCACATTTAGAACTTATTAGGTTTCATGCTTCAGTGTATTGTTGCACACCATAAACTAAGAAAAACTCAATGTCATTTGTTTTAAATAGTGCAAAAAAAGAGAAAAGGCAAAATAGAAGAAAATTATATATTAAAAACACATCAAATCATTTTTAGAAAGACCTACTCAAATATTTACAAATTATTTGAATTAAACTGAAATAGCTGTGTAGTTTGAATGATACACTTCAATACAGCCTGGTTTTAATGTACTGTACATAACCAGAGTGTGAATTCTCACCTGCACTTTCAAAGGAGGAGGAGTATGAAGACGAAGACGAAGAGGACGATGTTGAGTGGGAGGAAGAAAAGAGAGGAAAAGTATGCCCTCTTTTTTCTCTCAATAATCCCTAAAAAGTACCAACATTTGATTAATTATCACAAATATAAATGCAATTTTCAAAAGAATCACAGTAGAAATGTCCTTACTGCCTCAGCTGCTGACAGGGCTGCCAGGGTGCAAATTAAAACAAAGTTTCTCATCGTTGCCATGTTTGGAATCCCAGCAGCATGAGCGTGCCTGCAGAGAGTGTGTGCACCTCCTCGGGGGTAACGTGTTTTGTCTACTGTGTGCAGGGAGGAGGGGAGGCTCCTGATTGGCTGAGGAACTTTCCCACAGACTGGCACACTTGATATGATGTGAAGTAATATTTGTTTGCAGGGTGAGTGGGTGAGTTAAGGCTGTTTAGCTACATGAGTATTTCCCAGGAAGCATATCAATAACTTTGGTATGCTGGGACGTCATTTCGGATATGCAGCTGTTTGAGTGGAGAATTTCACAAATTCTGGATGCATATGAGTCATAAAATAATACTGTGAAACATGTTGTGAGGTTCTGGACATCATACACCTGCAGGATGTTGGTGCCCACGCCCTGTTAGACCTCACCAGTGACACCACAACCCCACCAGTTGGGAAACTGATACTGATATTAAGTAATAAGACCACAGGAAGGAGAAATGGTTTCTGTTCTGAAAAGGCGTGTATTCCCTGTCATAATGTCTCTGTAATACAGTGTTAAATCAAGACCACGGTCACGTTTACCGTCATTTATTTTAAAATGCAATAAAATGCATCTGTCTCTCTCATCACTATGTAAGAATAAATAAGAGGCAACAGAATTATTAAGGAATACCACAATATTATAGAAATAAGTAGTCAAACTATATTTTTCTACCATGATCCTTAACATGCAGACAGTAACACATTGGACTTGGATGGCAAATTTGGAAACTATTTATTATTTCTAAATAAAAAAATCTAATATAAGTCATTAAGCTCAATGGATCCACTTGAAAAAAAAATGGATAGATAAACATTTATATTGTGGTTTGTTTCTGTTTTATTTAAATGTGTTGCATATAGTGTTCTTATTGCTGGTGAAGATTATGTTTCTAGTACCTAGAGTTTCAAAATGACAAATATGTTTTTAGATTTTTTTAGATGTTTTATTTTTATTTTAGTTTACAAATCTGTGATCAGCATTGGGCCAAAATACATTTCTGATTATGCTTTAAGTTATAAACCTGGTAGGTCCTTTAAAGATCTTTAGGAATGAGAGTAGTGACTGAAATTGTAAAAAAAAAAAACTGCACGGATCAGAAAATGGAAGGAAACCCAATAATTGAAAACTTAAGGTTATTTAACTCAGGTTTACTTTTCTAAATAAGAAACTATTGTCAAATGTTGGTAATTTTAGTAGGACAACAAGACACTAACAGTATCAAATAGTTTGTAAACTTGCAAGACTTTAATTTTTGCATACATATTTTTAATCACACCATCAGTTGTTTTACATCATGATCAGGTTAATTGCACATGTTGTTATAAGAAGCAGCTTTTGATGGCAGCATGGTGGCCTTAATATGATTTTAGCAGTTAGCTTGTATGTTGTTGGCTAATGCTATGAGCTTTATAAACAGCTAAGGGCAGGTAGCTGTAGAATATGTTGGTGTGTTTGTTGGCCCAGGAAGTGGATACTAACCAAACATAAAACACTTTAACTCATATTAAAATCTATCAGAATAAAAACGATGACATAAGAACACTGATTGCTGTTGTAGCTGCTAAATTGCTCCGTTTTGTAATAAAGTGTCACTGGATGTCACTGTTGCTCTGTAAACACAAGAGTTCATTTATCCTGATTGTACCTGAAGTATCATGATGGGTTCTTCCCATACAGTTCTTCCATTGGCCGATGACTCCTTATGTAATTGGAGAAAATAAAACTACTAATAACTTTTCGTGAAAAGAAAAACGAATTTCGATGAAATAATTTGATGATGATGATGCTGATGATGATGATGATGATGATGATGATGATGTAGATGTGATTGTTTCATTCTTATTACTTGCATCTGAATCACTGACCCACGCAAATTAAGCCACTTTTAAATGAACAGTGTAAATGAAAGCAAATATGTACCTATGATATGTACATTAGGATCCCGGAAGTCGTCCAGTTTGGATCCTGCTTGGCTGAATGTTGCCTTTACGGGCCGCAGGAATAATTAGATTATCTTCAATAGATAGAGAATCTAGAACAAATTATATTCAACGTAAATATTTTATGTCAATATATCTGAAACAGTTAATTCATTTAAATTACCGTGTTAAAATATATTTCTTTAATTTATTCCAGCAATACGTTTTTTATTTTGTTTTCATTTAACAACATTATCTATTTTTTGTTAGTTTATTTAGGAGTATTTTTATAAATTTTACCATCTAACTGATGTTTATTTGTTTGTTTTTTTCCATATGTAAAGCCCTTTTTTGTATGCGTATCATTATAAATATTATTTTATTATTATAATTATTATTGTGTTATACAATTATTATCAGTTTTCTTTTTACTTGTGTTACCTTGTTGTTGAGATCATTGTGAAGTTGGTGTCTTTTGTTTTTTCTATTGCCTATAAATGATGCAGGTCAATGTAAATGTATTTACAATACAAATCATTCATTTACAAATCATAAAATGTACAGCAATGTGTTCCTCAGTTGCACCACATGTCATTTTTAATAAAAACAACATCATGAATAAGCATTACCCATGTTAAAAACATTAAAAAACATCAACAGCAGCTATTTTTTACATGACATTCCCTTTGTAGGTGGATATTCCGAGCAGGCCCTGAACGCAGCAGGAACAGAGCGGTGGATGAGGGAGATTATCCTCCTTTACTGCGACTGTTAACCTGCTGTTAACACGGATCCTAACAGGAGGTGTTGGTTTGTGACACAACATGGGAAACGCCGACACCAAACTGCACTTCAGGAAAGCGGTGATACAGCTCACAACCAAAACACAGGTCAGTTATTTAAAAAGAAAAAACTAACGTCGCTTGTGTTTTAAATTCAGCTTGTGGAGATAAAGTTAGAGTGCCAGATGGTAGCCTTAACTGAAGCCTCAATGACACAAAGTGGAAGGGAAGTCAAGTAAACACTTCAGTCAGTTTACAAATGAAGATGTCCTGACATAATATACATACATTTCGTGAAATATGGATATTTTCCTCTATTTGTTGCGTTTTAAGAGACTGTCAACAGGCAGGTTGGCCCTATTGGTGTTCTGAGTCCTTCACCTGTCTTGTTTGTTTTGTGAAATTATCCTTAAATAACTTGAACATGTGACATGTGATTGTTAAATGTTGAATTTAATTAGTTTTCCTGCAGGCAGCAAGTGTTTCCCTCGCAGGTGCATTTAAGGTGGAACTAACTAGATGAAGTTGATAAGGATCTACTACAGACTCTGCACTCAGGCCTGTTTTTAGTGTTCGACAATCGATTCATCGAGTTACCTTCAAGTAAAAGAAAAATACATCTGTGATAGTAGGCTTACATGTATTCTGTTTTTTTGGACAAACCAAAGAATGTTCACATTTTCTGAATGTTTAGGACTAATCGATGAATCACTTACTCAATAAATAACCGACTGATTATTTGGTATTGAAAAGTATCCTTAGTTGGTTGCTTGTGTTTTTTGTGTCCTACATATTCTCTTTCTATGTTAAATACAGAACCAATCATATGTAGAATGTAATGTCTGACTGTCATGTTGGAAAAGCAAACATTATCTACTACAGCTCTCATATAAATGTAGTGGAGCACAAGTACAATATTTATCTGAGAAGTATTTAGATAAAATGAATATAAAAGTATCAGTAGAAGTAGCTTGAAATTGTACTTAAAAACAGTACTCCCATAGACTTTATAGGGTTTAACACAACATAAAGTCAGAGACAAATGGGACAAAAGAACAGTAAACAAAAGGGATAAATACGCTAAGGTTAATAAATGATAAAGGTTTTAAAATAAAAAGACACATATTCTGTTTTCTTCTGACTATAGCTGATTCGAGAAAACTGTATTCAATAATAGGTGCACAGTAATGAGCAGTACAAAATGATGATTCTCCAGACGGAGATCATGATAAACACACACAAATAATGACTTTTTGTCCTCTCCTGCAGCCTGTAGAAGCCACAGACGATGCCTTCTGGGATCAGTTCTGGGCCGACACCTCCACCACGGTCCAGGATGTGTTCGCTCTGGTGCCGGCCGCAGAGATCAGAGCTGTGAGAGAGGAGTCTCCATCCAACCTGGCAACCCTCTGCTACAAGGTAACCTGCATTCATCAGGATGGGGAGGAGATGTAAATGATGGTTTTCAGTATGTATCCAGTCAGAGATGTCCTGGACTCAAATATACAAGCCATTCTCTGGAATTTTGAGACAATATGTTTTTACCTAACAAAAGTGTGTTGTCTTAGTGCAGCTATTCTTCTGTCAGAGTCACAGGAATGCTGCTGTTTGTTCACACACTTTACACGTTACACACATCAGTGTTTGTAAAGGTCAAAGGTTATTTGAGTAAAGCAGATGGGGTGTTCCTTGTAGACCTGGCTGACAAATAAAATGTTCAACAAAAGGAACAAAGAGACAGTAAGACAGGATAACCTGCATTTCTTACAGCAAGGAACAGTTGGACATTGAACACTTTAATCCCTTAATGTCAAGTTTTCCTTTTAGAAGCTTTGTTATTGTTATTCCACTCTGTCTAACAGTATCATGTACTGTACTCTATATTCTCTTTCAGTTTGATTGAGCTCACTATGAACTATTAATGATGTTTGAACTGAGTGAAATATTGAATCCCAAAACTCTGTGTTTCTCATGGCCGCACCATCTTGTAAAACAGGGGTATTCCTGATGTCTTGTCTGCCATTTTAGACACACTTCCCAAAACATGTTGCTGTTATATGTTGTATCTTTTCAAACATCTACTAGAATTTGACATAAATATCTGTGGGATTGAACAATGTTTGTCTGCATGGTGTTTTTAATGACCTCTCACCACCAATCGCTGCTGTCTTTGTTAATCAGAACCAACAAATTCAATAAAATCTTCCTTTAGGGAAGATAGGTCTAGAAATGTCAGCTGCCTGCAAGGCTCACCAGTATCACTTGATTCCTCAAAAACAAATTTAAAATTAAGTCAAATTAACTTTGGAGATATGTGTATGACACCTGCTTA